ACTTCCGCAAGGCCGCGGAGCACTTGTGTGACGTAGAGCAGTGGGAGGAGGCCAAGAAGCTGTGCGAGAAAGCCATTCGTATCCACAGCAAGATCAAAGGCTTTGACAACGAGGAAGTTGGCCACGACAGGAAAATCATGGCACGGATTTACAGGGGCTTGAGCCAGCACGAGAAGGCGCTGGAACAGTTTAGAATCGCGAGGCAGATCTTCAACGAGGACGAGGAGAACATCTACTGGGCCAACATGGGAATAGCGGACTCGCAGATGTGCATGGAGAGCTACAGCGAAGCCATCGCGACGATAGAAGGGGCGATGGAGTCGATTCCAAAGAAGCCAGTGACTTACAGAGGGACTGCTTATCTCAAGCTCGCCAAGGCGTTTTATCTCAAGAAGGACTTTAACGAAGGAATCAAGAGGTTGATGGCTGCTCTCGAGTTCTACAAAGCGAACCTTGGTGCCGGCTCCATGGACGAGACTGCCAGCCAGCTCCACGAGATCGCGGCGCTGTTTGACGCGATGGGAGACGTCAAAGGCTCCATCAGGACGCTGAAGATCGCCATCGCCGCCTACGACTGCGTCCCTGGAGCGGAGAAGCTGGTGATGAACGCAAAGATGGACCTTGGCTCGCAGCTTATACGGCACAAGAAGCCCGAGAGCGCGCTGCGTTACTACGAGGAGGCCATGGAGCTGTCCAGGAAGCTCGGGTTGCCGAGCCTCAACCTTCTCACCTTGACGGGGATAGCACACATGGAACTCTCGAATCACCAGGCCGCGATGGAGGTGCTGCAAGATGCTAAAGCTTTGCTCGAGAGCCCGGAACAGATGAAGCGCTCGGACCTGTCCAAGAAGATTTGCTTCCCGAAGCTCCCCGTGTATCACAACTTGGTCACGTGCTACCAGCATTTCGAAAGGTATGTCTTGCTTTTCTCGCTTTCTATCGTTCTTTTCCATCTTTGCTAATGCTCGAGCGATCGCTTTGCGCAGATATGACGACGCTCTCGACTGCCAGAAGCTTTTGGTGGCGGAGCTGCGCATCGCGGGACGCGAAGCCGAGGAAAAGCTCCCCGACGCGACGCGAGTGCTCGAGGAACTCATGGAGAGGAGCAGCAAACTCCCCGTCCAAGCTCAAGCGTGACTCTCGGGTACCTTGTCATCTTTTCACGATCACGAGAAGTTGATAAATAGATAGAGATGGTTTTAAAAGCTTCGTGTGGATTTCTTACTGTTTTCTTCCATCGCGAATGCAGGCTTGAGTCTCGGGAGTCGTACCAACAAGCGCAAAAGTCCGTACGGGGGAGTTTACATTGTGGAAGATCCTTTGAGCAAAGAAACGAGGCGTTTTGGCACGTTATAGCGATTCCAGGTGGGCTTTTTGCTGTTTGGATCACGCATCTGGCTAGAGCGAGAGCTTGTGGGTCACAGGGTAGAGAGAGAGAGGAGGGAGGCTTTCCTTTTAGGGAAGTGGAAAGAAGTGAGAGCCAAGAAATGGCGAGCTCCAGGAGCAAGATTCCGGCTTACACGCCGGCGCTCGTCATCGGCTTGGTGGTGGTGGCGCTCTTGGGTTTCCAGACGCTCCGGGAACGCAATTCCACCAGTGCTGCGCTATACCAGAAGGAGAGCGAGATCGTCAAGCTCCATCTAGAGCTCCAAGTAAGTGGTCTTTCTTTCTTTCGCTCTATCTTCTTTTAAGGACTTGATTAGTCGTCGAGGACGAACTTACACGAGTTTTTTCTTTTCCTTTTGCTCTTGGCAGGAGGTTCTCAAGTCGTCCGAGCAGCTGCAAAGAACAGTGTCTAGCCTCCGAGCCGAGAAGAGCAAGCTTGCGACTGATACCAGTAGCTTGAACTCGCAGCTGGCCCAGCTCGAGAAGTACCGGGGTTCCACCGAGGACAGGAAGAGGAACTTGGAGGAGACCGTGCAAAGCAAGGAGGAGGAGATCGAGGAGCTCAAGGAGCAGTTGGGGAAGATGCAGCACAGCGCCGAGGAGCTGCGGGAGCTCAAGCAGCAGATTCGTGAGCTCGAGGAGAAGCTAAAGTTGGCTCAAACGGGTGGTGGCGCTGGGGTGAAAAAACCGGAAGCGAAGGAATTCGTGTCGGGTCTGGAGGATGAGGATCCCAAGGCCCGAAACTCGACGGCTCTGGAAGACGAGAAAGAAGACGAGGAGGCGAGGACGACTGAGGAGTCTTCCAAAGATGAAGAGGCGAGTGATGATTCAAAAGAGGGGGACGAGAAGAATTTGGAGGAAGGAGTCGAAGAGGACAACGAGCAGGATAAGTTGGACGAAGATAGCAAGTCTGCGGAGTTGGATCTGGAAGAAGGAAGTTTGGGTGGAGATAACAACCAGGAGGCCGCAGAATAGTTTGTTTGTTGGAAAAAGTTCCAACTCGAGAGCTTAGCTTCTCTTTTACCTTGAAGTTTGTAAAGAGTTTTTGCGTGTTTTAAGAAGCTACACTTTGGCCGATGATGTCTGAGAAGGAGAAGTCGTGGAATGGCAAACCTGAGAAAATAAGACAAAGGAGCTTGAAACTTTTCTGAAAAGACGAGCTAAACCGAATCTTACCTTCTCGTTCGTCGAGGAGATAAAACGGGATGTTGGCGACTGCCAGTGTTTGAGCTTTGCTCCATTCCACCGTTCCAGGCCTGTGCTGGCCACCCAAGATTGACGAGCAAATCGCGTGGTCGTGCATCAGACCGAGGTAGTCACGAGCTCTTCTCCAGACGATCTTATCGAGTAGCTGATGTGATCGTGCCACCTTCGAAGCAATCAAGAACAGCAACTTAAACTTCCTCAGAGAAGCAAAAAAAAAAAAAAAAAACAAACCTTGGCAAGGCACACTCGAGCTCTAGGCGAGAGCTCTCGATGGCACGTTGCAAGCTTTGCTATGGCGGTTATGACAAAACATAGCAGCCGGGACTGGGCCGGGACGGCAGAAGTTTTACGCCTGGATGTTTGTAAAAGATTAGACACAACGTAAGCTGTGAAAAACTTCAATTACCTTGACGAGAGGTTTTCGTAGAGAACCAGCTCCAGAGTTTCAAAGAGCTCTCTTGCAGCATCCTTGAAATGCGTACCACCACCTCCATGTTCTCCAATCGCCCAGCATAGTTGCAAAGCAAGCTCAGTCTAGCAAATGCAATGTAAGTTTAGCGCTCAAACATTGAGAAATCCATCTTACTTTGCCGTCACTTGTTTGAGGTTGACTGACGCTGTCCGTGATGGGCTTCTGCGATGTTTTTACTTCTTTTGGAATAACGATTTCAAATAGATAAGAAAGGCTTACCTTCAAAAGAGCAATGAATTGAGGAGATTTCTTAAAGCAAGCGTGCATAAACTGAAAACACGTTTGTTGGACCTGATTTAAGACACGAGTCAGCTTATGAGTAAACTAATCTTGCTTACCTCGATTGAAAATGCCTTATCCGGAAACATGGCATCGATTCTGAAGAAAACCATAGGTAAAAGAGCGCAGAGTAGTGCTAAACATACAAAGAGCAGCGGATTAAATGCAAAAACCAAAGGCTTGGAACTTACAATCGCTCACGTCTCGCAATGCGACGTCGAAATAGACTTGCAAAAGCTGCGGGCTAAATTTCAGAGCATGTTTAAGCTTGTTGGATTGTACAGACCCCATTGCTGCTTCCAACGTGGCCTTCATTCCAGGATACGACCAATGACGTTCCTGCAAGATGAACCTTCTTATCCTCAAAGCAATATAGTCACTTCTTGTTACCGCTAAGCCTTCGTTTTCATCTTTCAAGAGGTCCGAAAACAGATCATCTGCTTCGTAATGCGAGTTTCTTCCAGAGCCTTCTTTGCTGGAATCATCGCCCCCATCAATGAAGGTTCCTGTGTAAGCTTCATCCATCAATGCCAGAAGTGCCTGAGAAACGAATAAACAAATCGCACAGCTTAATGAGCATGTATATCACCTCGGGTGCCGGGTTTTTTCGAATGTTTCCCATGTTTCCGTGCAGAGATCCAGTGCGTTGTTCTAGACTCTCCAGAGCCAGGACCAAAGCTGCATAAAAACTTCACACGCTTCAACTTCAGAAATCGAGTCATAGCTCGGAGATACTCACTCGGCAGGTCCAGAAGAGCCAAGAACAGCTGCAAAAATGACGGCGGCCCCATGAGCGCGGGAAACAGCTGCAAAAATGGTGTGTCGAGGCTATAAAGCAACAGAAAATCAGGAGATGGAGATAAACTACCGCGAGAAAAAATTCACTCACGTTTCATCTCCCCAAGCAATCACCTTGAGGAGCAAAGGAAAGAACTGCGCATTCAAAACCATAGCACATGAGATAAATGCGACAGCAATGAAAGTTCGATACCAACCTGAGGAAGAACACTCGAATAAGAAAGCAAAAACTTCATCTTGTTGTGATTTAGGAAAGTCACAGTCGCAGCTGCTACAGCAGGATCTGCATATTGCCTGGAAAAAAACAAAAATGCTCGTCAAATAAAAGAAAAGAAAGAAGAATGAAAGAAAGAACAAAGAAACTTTAGCACTTACTTGACGAGGCATGAGCGAAAAAAAGCTCGCAAACTTGGATCCGCATCGTGAAGAACAGTCTCTCCATGATCCAGAAAAAACTGTAGTATAGCCTGTTGTGTGCAAGAAAATAAAACGCTAAGAACTTTCCCAACCAAAAAATTCCAAGCTCGTACCAGCGCAACTAGAGCGGTGCTGGGACGTTGTGTCGACGAAGAACAGCATCGCTGGAAGAGCTTCGTCATGGCGGGATAAACTCTCGTCACCAAATCCTCGTTCCCTTCACTCTTACACATCGCATTGAGCCTTTCCACCTGAGAAACAGAAACACCCCATCTCCTCTTTAGAAATCACAGCAAAAGAAAAATCCAGCTCGTTACTAACCGCATCGCGAACCGAGGTGTCGGCCGTGTCGATCGCCGAGGAATCGCGGCCAGCACCGAGCGAGAGAATCCGGAGACAAATCGCCCACTCCCTCTCCTCCATATCTCCTCAATGCAAGAGATTTTAGGGCTCCACGCGAAGCTTTTTAAAGATTTTTAAACTGTTAATCAGTGCGCGAATCTTCGAGTCCATTCCATGGCGGATTTGTCGTGGAGGTGACGATCGGACAAATATTCGTGGGCGATACTTCCCACCAAAGGATCGACTGCAAGGAAGAAAAAAAAAAGAAAAGAAATAAGTTCAAGAAAAACGAAGAGAAAACTCACAAGGATCTGGCTCGCCCAGCAATGCACAAATCGAAACAAGAACTTTGGAGATTGTAAGAGCTGGACTCCAATTCTCCTCGAGAATTTTCAGGAAGATCTGTCCGCTGGGATGAATGTTGCAGTGATAGATTCGCGTTCTAAACACCACCTACATTTTTCCAGCGAGAGATAGGATCATCGAATTTTTCCTCCTTTCCACATTACCTTGGGAGGCTTGAATGGATAATCGCTGGGGAAGCTAATGTCGATGAAAAAAATCCCACCTTGATAAGGCGATCCTGCGACAAGAAGAAGATTTCCTTCAAAAGATGAAAGCATTTGCTTGATCTACGAAGTGTACCAGAAGGACCAACGATTGTGGAGACCCACTCGTAGAGATTATCGCCCTTTGGACCGGCAGAGCAATTCTCCGGTGGATCAGCGCTAATTTCTGCGAGCTCCTTCTGGATCCGCTTGGCAGAGGCGGTGAGCGAAGTAGTGGAGTTCCAAGGCCGCCCCGCCGTGCCACTGCCTGTTGCCGCGCTGGCGCTCATCCCCAAACCCCTGTTTCTATGAAGAACCCTAAAAGTGTAAACTGAAGAACCCTAAAAATTTGATTAAAGGTTTCATCAGCAAAGCTCACAAACCTTTGCATTTTTCATCCATCATTCTCATGCTTCAAGTTGGGCACTGCAAGACTATCAAAATAGCATATAGAGGATAAATTCTTTTTTTGAAATTTGAGAGATCAAGATTCTTGTGTGATTTGGTAGGGACCAAAGAACATGTTATGTTTGTGTGCTACATCATGTTTGGGTCCTTGTTTCTACAGGCAAGGGAAAAGGGTGGATGCAACATAGCCATCAGCATTGTGAGGAGAGCAAATAAATTATAACATTTTTGAAGAAATTTGGGAGGTCCTCTTCTGTCTGTGTGGGAGACACAAGACCATCCATCTAAAATACCTGGAAACAAATTTGACATCCCTCCCTCCACTTCTTGCTTTTGAACATGGCTAGCACAATTTTTATGATAAAGGGATTGATCCAACCCTTTCAACAAACGCATTTGTTTTCTCTCATTCTTTTATTTTTTATTTTGACCATTGGCCTATCAACTCCCTCCCTTTTCTTGGGCCACTTGAAGGACCAAACTCCCTCATTGTTGTGATAGTGTTCTCTTGGTTCCATGTACTAGAGATTTCTCTCCTTTTTATTTCTGCTCCTTTTTCTGATTATTTTAGGATTAAATTGCCTTTCCTCGTGAGGTGAGGCGATCCATCGCCAGCTAGTGTACAGACAAATCAAATAAAAAAGCTCATCCAATTTGATAGATATACGTATATATATGCAATTATAAATACTATTAAGAAATACCCGAATTTATGAATTACATATGCCTGAGTTCCTGCAAGCATTCTTTTCCAAGTGAAAACGACACTACCGTGCTTATTTTTTGTATAAATCGATCAAAACGCACACCGAGCAGCGAGCCAACTTTATGGTTTTTATCAAAATCCGAGGTGATCGAGAGGATCACTTTCACTTCACGGAGACGAAGTTAGGGAAGGACTCGATCCAGGATCTGACGCCCAATTTAAAACGCTGAGGCCCATGCTACCGCAATTCGTACGCTCTACGTATAACTCCTTTCTATATGTTTCTTAGCAGGGGTTCCTTGTTTCCCAAGAGAGGCGTAAGATTAGACACGGGGTCGCCATCTATCCAATCTCTTCCGGCCACCGCGCTGGCATTTTCATGGAATACTCTATCGCCATTGTCTTCATAAAAGCTTGTTTTTGAGATCTCAATCTCAGGAAATTGATGGGATTGGATTGAATTGATTGATTGGTGCAAGATGTTTTGATTGCTGGGTTGTGCTCCTCCTCTACTTTTGGTTCTTTTTCTTTTGTTCTCCCTGTGTGTTAGGTCTTAGTTTCCTCCTCCTCAGCTTTTGAGTCCTCCTTCCACTCGCTGAAATTCAGACAAGTATCCAGATTATTTCGTGAAATTCTCAAAGGAGAAGATCAAGGAGGGTCGCTGTCCTAGGAAATATAGAAAGAATAAGAAAGAGAGAGATTCTGTCTCACTCCATCTCTCTGGTGGTATTCAAGCTGGCATTCATGTTGTAGGTGGTAGACATTTCAACTGTTTTTACCAAGCATACTCAAAAGGGGTTTAAAACGGCGTCAAAGTCTTTTTCCGGTAAAAAGATGACATGTATTTCCCACGTATTCTTGTGGCGTACAAATACACGTCAACATATGCGCAGCCGAGTTGGTGAAAGATCGGGATGGGACATCGTTCCCTCCCCACTAACTAACTTAAGACCCTTTAGCGAAAACAAAAGGTGGCGGAGTGTAAAGAAAGGTGGTAAACTCAGTGGACTATGAGAGGCTACTTGCTGGGTTCAGAAAAAAGAATTGCACCACCTTTTGCCCCTCCCCATGTGCATGCGTTCAGAGGATCAAAGCTAAGGATCCAAAGACCCGAAAGCGCTAGGGTTTGAGGATTTTACAGTGACATTCCAACCTATGTGCACCAGCCACCACCGCCACCTTCCAAAAGAAAGAAACAACAAGTTGGCGGCGCAAAAGAAGAAAAAAGGGGGGAATTTAACGTAAAGGGTGGAATGAAACAGAGCGTTAACGGGATATGTAGCTCGCTTTCTAGGGTTTGTTTGTTAGTTTGTTTGCCTGGCAGCCATTTTCTTTTTCTTTACATTTTATTGTAAAAATACATTTTACTATTATGATCGTGAAATAAAGAAATATTTGCTGGAAGTTTGTGCGTGTTGAGAGAGGGTAAAAAATCATCAGATGTTCTTGTCGTTGATGTTGGGGTGTTGGGAAGCATGCATGTTGGATTCGCCCGTTTGAATCCAACGGAGGGTTTTGTGTCTTTATTTTATGTTTTCCAAGACTTTTCAATCTTTTTTCCTGTTGTGTCACGGTTTTTGATCAAAGGAAAGCAGAGCTTACGAGAGCATTCATTTTCATAGTTTTTTTGCATTCCATTCGATGCATTCCAAAAACCCTGTCCCCCTTTCGAGGTAAAGAACAAACAAAGAGAAGCAACAAAAACAACGCGGTGGGTGTTGGTGGCCTCTCGACGTCGATGGCTTCTTCGACCTTCAAACTTGCAAGAAGAAAAAAATCAACAGTAAATTGCTTTTCCTTTTCTTTCCAGCTTTCTTTTCTAGCTTTTCCTATATGGTGGTGTTGGTCCTCCAAAGTCCTTCACCACATTCAAGGCAGAGTATCGAGAAGGAAAAAAAAAATGCAGCAGGAGGAGAAGATGGTGACGATGACGAACTTCTTCTTCTTCTTGGCGATGGTGACCAATACGAGCGAGTACTCTTGCCTTAACACCCGTTAAGCTGGATCCATCCGTGCGTTTAAAGCTGAGATTTGTGGGGCATGGAGTGCGAGTACTCGAAGATCTCCCTGGATTTGTAACCATCTCAGACAAATCTCCTCGATAAAAATCACACTTTTCTCTGTGTTCCATCTCACCAAGTTGGCACAAACACCATTTCTTTTTTGTTAGGTCAAAGGCAAGAGGCAATGAGAAGCGCAGCGATGCTCGTCTTGTTGGGTGGAGCTGGCATGGATTCCCAAGCAACTTTCGGTGCTCCATAGGTAAAGCTCTCATCTTTTCCTCCATAGTTTTGCCCAGCAGCAGTGTGGAAATGCGGGCTTAGCTTAGTGCTCATCACAAAGCCCCTCTTTCTCTTTGAGTTTGTGTAAGTTCCTGTTAGCACTATAACTCCACGAACAAAGCAAGCAAGCCACTGTGTCTCCGTGTGTGTCTTTGTGTCTTTGTGTCTGTGGTTTGAAAGCGAGACTTGATCTTCCTCCAGCTTTTTTTTTTCTTTGAGTTGAGGGAACTTTGGTTTTCTCTTTTTGTGTATGTGTGTAGCGGCTAGGATTGACAAATTCCCTTCACCAAATCCCTGGCACCCTGCCGCTCTGCTGGTTTGTTGGGTGCCCTTTCGTTCTCACCAGTTTTTAGAGCGTCTATGAGAGAGAGAGGAGTTCTCCCTCGTCATGGAGGACGGCGAGCAAAGCTTGCGAGCTTAAAACTGTGTTACGAGGGGTGAGAGCCGTCATATCCATCGCCACCGGCCTCTTTTGCCCTCTTGCTGTCTTCTAAGACGCTCTCTCTTTCCTCTCTCTCTCTTTCTCTTTGCATATAAGCCCAGCTTCTTTCCATTCCAACCTTGCAACTCAAAAACTCAGGGAGAGAGAACAAGAGGACGGAGAAGTTTTTGTGTTTCGGTTTCTTCTCTTCGATTTCGTGAGAGGCACGGAGGTAACTTTTCTTCTTTAGCTTCTTGGTTTCGACAAGTCCCTGTTTCTAGCATGAGTAGTGTCTGTGTCTCTGTTCTTCTCGGGATGATATGATCCAATTTGGAGTTTTTTTTCTTTCTTTCAAGTCGAGCGTGTTCTTGTAAACATTCCGTGCAATCTTTCATACTCTTTTTCTTGGTTCCTTGCAGCAGGCAGGCACGCTGGTAGAATGTTCCTTAGTGAAAACTAAATTCATTCGCAACTGAACCGAGCTTGGGAGAATTCATGATGACAGCTTGCAAGCATTTGCTCTAGAGGAGGAGCTCTCAAAGTACTTCCCAAAGGCCATCATTTTGTTTTTTTTGGTTCCCTTTGGCTTTGGAGCAAGCCAGATCGCCGCTCGCTCGCAATGGCCGCTCTCAAATTGGAAAATGTGGGGAAGAAAGCTGCTTGGGTGTATCCGGAAGTCCAAGGTGCAAATCCTCCCGAGAGATGGGGACACTCAGCTTGCTTCTCTCAAGGAATGCTCTACGTTTTCGGGGTAAGTCACAGTTTTCTCTTCGTTTTTTTTTCTTTCGTTGCTGAATTCGAGTTCTCACTGCTCACTTCTCGCTCATCCAAAAAGAACTCGTTTTTTTATCCATCCAGCTCAAACTCACTAGACTTGTTCCGAATTCCACCACTAGAGGAGCTGTTTTACTTTGTCCTTGCGTTCTTTTTTTCTTCCTCCAGCCGAATCAAAATTCGAAATCTCAGTGCTTGCTTGCTTGCTCATATTTCGCTCTAAAAACGCGATTTTTTTCTTCGTTTCTAACATAATTTACGTGCTTTTCTTTGACAGGGATGCCGAGGAGGCCTACATTTCAGTGACGTGATGAGCCTCGACTTGACGACCATGTCCTGGAGCTCTTTCGCTTGCACTGGCCAGCAGCCCGGCACCCGAGACAGCCACTCGGCCGTCCTCCACGGCCGCAAGATGGTCATCTTTGGCGGCACCAATGGCTCCAACAAGATCAACGACGTCCATATCCTCGACCTCGACACGCACGTCTGGTCGTGTCCCACGGTCGAAGGCCAGGCGCCTCCTCCTCGGGAAAGCCACAGCGCCACGCTCGTCGATGGCAACAGGGTGGTCATCTTTGGCGGAACTGGCGAAGGCGATGGAAACTATCTCAACGACATCCACATCCTGGAGCTGGACAGGATGCGCTGGGTTTCTCCGGCGGTGAACGGTGAGCTCCCGGTTTGTAGAGACAGCCACACCGCGGTGGCTGTCAAGGACCAGCTTGTTGTCTACGGTGGTGACTGTGGCGATCGCTATCTCAGTGAAGTTGATGTCTTCAATCTCAAAACCTTCACGTGGTCAAAGGTAATGCGCTTGTTTTGCTCGTCGACAATGACGGAAAAATCGTTTTTTTTTTTTTTTTTGATTTTTGGCTCAGATAGATACTGCTGGATCTCTACAGCCGGCTGTTCGAGCAGGCCATGTAGCTGTTGCTGCAGAGAACAAGGTAGGATTCTTGTGATTTCCTTGCTTTGTTTTTGTTGCTCTTCCTTGTTCTTACGAGATGGAGGTGACAGGTTTATGTATTCGGAGGCGTTGGAGACAGAGCTTACTACAACGATGTTTGGGTTTTGGATCTTAGCTCTTGGAAGTGGTCGCAGGCTGAAGTTGCCGGACTCCAGCCGCAAGGACGTTTCTCTCACGTCGCTGTTCTGAGAGACGATGATATTGCGATTTATGGAGGGTACGTGTTTCTGTCTAGCGTTCTTTGGTCTAACCAAAGGATTGGTTTTTTATATGTAGATGTGGTGAAGATGAGAGACCTCTAGACGAGGTTCTAGTCCTCCACCTTGGAATCGAGCAACTCAATCCTGATTTTCCCAAATGCAAGTTCATCCAGACTGTCTACGACATGGAGCGGCGAAAGCCTTCGGTGGAAGTTATCAACGACGATGGTCTCTGCGATAGCGAGACCAAAGTCTCCAAAAAGGATCTAAACCTCGTAAGAATGGCTCTTCTCTTTCTCATTACAAACGCTGAGAGATTGTTCGTTTTTCACAGAACAAGACAACTTCTTTGCCCCCGTGCAAAGAAGATTTTCTCAACCTCTCCAGCCCGAAGGTCCAAGGAGGTGGCTTCCCATTTCCTCGGAGCCTCAACGACATGGCTGATAAATCCGGAGGAGCTTCAAGTATGAGGGCCAGAGCAAGAAAGTTGCCGTTCCAGTACATGGAGCATCTCACCAGCCTTGAAAGTAAGTAAACTTCTTCTATGTTCACAACTTTGGTTTCTTACAAACATCGGTCTCCACCAGATGGTTTTCACGCGAAGAAGCGAAAAACAACAAATCTCATGGGAAGAATGGAGGGCGGTGTCGAGTCGGAGCAAGACGAAGCATCACCGACGATGTCACAGCATCCATCTCCAACGCTGTCGGACCAAGATAAAGCTTGTCCAGCGGTGATGGCGAAGCCATCGACGAGGCCACCAGCGATCTTTCTCCAGCACCAGCAGCAGCAGCAGCAACAAGATCACCACAATCAAGCTCACAAGAATCACCACCACCAAGACCAGCAGCAACAACACACTGTAAGGTTTCCAACTTTGCAGCTCCAGCTCCATCTCCCCGGCCACCCCCAGACAATCTCTCTCCCGGTTCACGAGTCATCTCACTTGCAACAGTCGTCCCATCATCTCGCCGAGCATTTCACGCAAAAGTCCATGCAGCACCTTCAGCAGCAGCAGCAGCAATCCAGTGACAAAGTTCCGAGAACCGCGACCGTGGGAGTGCCTAACATCGTAAGTTACCACACCCCTTTCATCAAAATCCAGTTTTTCTTCGTTTGCTTGCATCAAAATCCACTTTTATTCGTTTGCTTGCATCAAACTCCATTTTTCTTCGTTTGCTTGCATCAAAGGCAAGTTTTTCATTGGTTTTCGCAAAGTATCAACCAAGCCCGGTTGTTTTTTTCGTGTTTTTCTTGCAGGTGGGATCCGAAGTACGAGGAATCGTCGACGGTGCATTCGATTCTGGTTATCTTATGACTGCTCAAATCAATGGACAAGTCTTTCGTGGCGTTTTGTTCTGTCCTGTAAGTTCTTCCAAACCATTGTTCTTCGTTCTTTCTTTGTTCTCGAGTTTTTCTCACCAAGATCATCACTGTGTCACGCAGGGTCCAAGCCATGCTGCCGTCCATCGACCACCGCTCTGCAATTCCCACCCAAAGCCAAGCTCTTCCACAATCGTGATGGCGGCTCCCCAGAGCGCAAGCTCCACCCCTCCAAGCCCGGTAAGCGCCACTCTCGTCGGCTACCCCGTCCATTTCTCCAACGCAGTCGCGGTGGACTCGCCCAATCGGCCCAATTTCTCGGAGCCGCCCAAGAGCTTCCACCATCCTCCTCCTCCCGACACATCGCTATCAGTCCGCCCCGTCCAGATCATGGGCGGCTTCCCAGCGATCGTGGGCAATCAATCCGGGCGATGGGTGTGGCAGCCAGGATTCCCTCCCCAGCAGCAGCCGGAGAATGGATCGAATTTGAGCATCATCTCAGTCCCAGTTGCAGTCCCAGTTCCAGCAGCCTCCCCCAATGTCCCGCCCTTCCCCAGCAATCTCGTAACAAAGAACCCCGCGGCCCGCGAGCCCGATTCGTCGCAGCCGGCCGTGACGCTCAGCCTGGGCCAGTCGACGCACGCGCACAAGATCTAGGCAGGTCCCCTGTTTCTAGGGTTCTTGGGCAGAGTCCCCTGTTTTTAGGATTCTTGGACCAGTCCCCTGTTTTTAAGGGTTACTGGGTAAGGTCAAAATTAGGGCAAAGGTGGGACCCATTGGACCAGGACTGGTGGAAAGTTCCACATGTCAGAAAAACAAAATGGTAGTCAATGGCGCGCTTTGACATTTCTTTCGGCTTTGTTGACTTGGGCTTGTTTTTCCACGCTTCTCTCTCCCACGTGTCACGCCGGTATTCGCAAAGCCCCCATTTTAATGTGAGGTTTTACCCTGCGCGTGGGTTGTTGTTTGGCAGAAAATGCGGGCAGTGGAGTGAGGGTCAAGGCGCCGCGTTTACTTCGCTCTTCCTCTCCTAGGTCGGGATTGCCCCTCGCCTCGCCCCAAGATCTCTGCGCGAGAGAGGATCGCGGGACTGGCGCGCGGATCCGCGGCTGGAGTTTGGGATTCTTGGCGATTCTTGGCGATTTCTCGGCGGTTCTTGGCGGTTCTTAGCGATCCCTGGTGGATAATCTCTCTCCGGTGAGTGATCCTTGTGATCTAGGCCGCGGTAGCTCGATATTTCGGTGTGTGCTGAGAGATCTGGAGTGTTCTCGCCTGGCGTGTGTGTTTTGGGGGATTCTTGGCGTGTTCTTGGTCTTCTCTCTCGGATGTTTCCTCGCATTCTTGGGGATTTCGAAGCGCCGGAAATTTCTATAGCTTTTGGATGCTTGTTGACATTCCTGGGTTGGAAGTCTTGGCGATTAAGTCCACTTATTAACTTAAATTCCTTGCAGAAACCATGGATGTGGATGTTTTACACTATGGAGGCGGCAGCCATAGCCATACCAGGGATCACTATGTCCAAGTAGCGGCAAAAGCTGGCCTGGAGAACGTCCATCGATTGATCGACATTCTTTCCAGAGACAAGCCTCCGGTGTTACAGGAAGACAGCAGCCTCGCAGCGTCCTCGGCAATGTTGCAGTTCAAAAAGGTGAATTCGCTCTTGAGTCGGACTGGGCACGCTCGTTTCAGGAAAGGGCCAACACAACCCAACGTAATGACCACCTCGGTTTTCCTGGTGAATCACTCCTCCAAGGACGAGCAGCAGGAGAGCATTCAGAAACTCGCCAAAGAAGAGCCAGCAGCTGGGACGGAGCTCGCTCTTGGATCGATGTGCTTCAGCTCCGATAATTCCATGAGCTCCAGCCCGCCACCTTCGTCGTCCAGATCGTTCATCTCGTCCCTGAGCCTCGAGGGGAGCGTCACAAACGGCGGGCTCTTCGAGAACAGCGTCACCAATGGGACCATTTTCAAGCCGGTTCCTCCCAAGAGCAGCCATCCCGTTGAAAAATGCTCGGCCGCGAGCATTCTCGACAAGTGTCGAAGCGTTGGCAAGTGCCATTGCTTCAAGCGCACCAGGTCAGTAGCATCTCTCAAAAAGTCCACTCTCCGTAGAAAAAAAAAATGTTTTTAGGTGGTGGCAGAGTTGACTAACGCACATCTCTTGCTCGTGCTTCCAGAAAGCTTAGAGTCAAGCGAGTGATCAGCGTGCCTGCCGTCAGCAACAAGATCGCTGACATTCCCCAGGACGAGTACTCTTGGAGAAAATATGGTCAGAAGCCGATCAAAGGCTCTCCACATCCAAGGTAAGCGGACGAGATTCTCTCGTTTTCTCTTTTCCTTTAGTGAAGAACAAGTATAAACAAGCTTCTTGCAGGGGCTACTACAAATGCAGCAGCTTGAGAGGCTGTCCCGCGAGAAAGCACGTAGAGCGGTGCCTGGACGATCCGACAATGCTGCGTGTGACTTACGAGGGAGAGCACAGTCATGGCGTGCAACCGCGGTAGACTTTTGCTAATTGCTTTTTTTCGTTCTTCTCGGAAGCGAGCTTCACTTGGTTGAGTTCTCTTCTGGGATGTACATAACATACAAATCAACTTATTGGCCACAGCATTTACAGCGAAAAACTTACAACACCATTCTAAATGAATTAGAATCTGAGCGACGCTTCTATCAGCAGTAACTCGCGATTGGAATGCCACCAGCGGCAACTCCATCGCCATCTTCCAGATGATGCAGCATTTCTCCGGACGAGATCACATTCACGGGAATTCTCTCGTCGTGCACCGCTTGGATGACTTCGCTGCGATCTTGCAGCACTCATGGTGATGCTCACTACACCGAGATAGCAGCGGATCGAGCAGCGATGCTAGACTCAACTCTTAAGCGATGCCTCGTCAGGCATCACACCGCAGAGAAGCGTCTCGTGGTAAAGGCCTCGAAGCCGTCAGCTTGGACCGTAGCATTCCACGAAACAATATCCCCCTTTGGAAGAGATTCGAACATCTCACGTGCTTTTCCATGAATCCTTGACCTGGCCATCCAGCCATGGAGCTGCACCATACATTTGGTGCTATCAGTGAGTTCCAGGCAAAGGTGCAGTTAATCCTTCATTGATTTTTAAAATAATGAACAACAAGTTCCTACTTTTGGACTAAAAATCGCAATCTGAGTGGAATCAGTGCAAAATAATCAAGTCCAAGCTTATATCTTTTAAGCTAAATCCCTAAGAGAAATTTAGATTGCAAGTATATATGACTGCCACACTTCCCGTAGAAGTCTATCAGCGCGTTGGCCACAAACGTATCACTCTCGGCACGGTGTCTACGAAGAAAAAACAGAAGTCTTCCGAAAATACTGCATTCGTTTCCCATATACTCCATCCTTATTATTCTTGTATTGCTGCCATGGAAACGTCTCTTTGGGAACACACGACCACAACCTGTAGCTTGATCTCTTCAACACAGCATCCACCATTTCTAAGCCACTCGCTTTAAAGACTTTAAAGCCGTGTTTTCCATCCAGTCTCGAAAAGATCTGAATCAAAAATGTCTTCATCCATACCAGAATCAATGCTTGGAAAGACTTCAGAAGTTGGGTTCACGTACTTGCCCATACCCATCTTTGCTCACCAGCAGAACTTGCCTCTAGCATGATATGAGGTCCAATATGATGGGAAGTCTCAGCACCAGAGGTTCCGTCACCGTAAACTTGCTTGATAATAAAATCACCACCCTTCAACTGCAGCCTATGCTCATAAAGCTTCCACCCAAGAGCAGCTGAATGTTTCTTTCAGGAATTCCACCACACGTACAGCTCCAGCAAGCATATACTGATTCCCAAGCAAAGCCTCACTTGCAAACTGAAATTTCTTGTCGCTGTGGTCCTCAGTTGCCACGATGTGCAGAATGGTGTCGCTGACTTTTTTCACGTTGCCTCCTGACAAAATCGTAGCCGCTTTGGATGCACATGATCCAAATCAACCGCAGCTTTGGCCCTGGCCTTCCCCTCATCCAGCTTTGTTGCACGCAGTAGATACCTAGGAACTCCACCCAAATAATCGAAGTTGTCAAGCCCTTTCTCTCTGTCCACCACATTCATGCTCCCGTAACTAGCTCGGTAAGGCTCAAAGTCGTCAAGGAATTTCCCAATCTCCTCCCTGGACCACACCGGCATATAAAGCGTGCAACAAAGCCCCCCCCCCCCTCCCCCTCATCATAGTTTTTCTCCTTAGATGAGCAAACCAAAAGAACTTGACAGCTGCGAAGTAAAGGCGTCTTCTGCTTCCCATCTATCACTAGCCACATCGACGGATCGTCCAGCATTTTGCGTATAATTGTGTCATTCACGTGATAACCACCTTCAGCACACTGCCTTCCAAAATTCAGGATGTAAACAACCTCGCCAACCTTGTATAACACCTTTTCATGCCCCATTTAGCCCAGCCTAACCAAGCAGGTGCCAAGCAGATGGCCGTGAATTCAATTACAACCACAAGCCAGACACAAGCACCCAAGACCAAATCCAACAGCGACACTATCAGAAGCAAGACCTTGCTGATTTCATGGCGCACTAAAACAAAGGGCTTTCGCAATTGCTTACCAGATCCGGCGACTGCAACATAGGAAACGTGTAAGAATATTTTGAAACGGACAACTGCAGAGCACAGGCTTACCAGTCAGGAAATTTTTCACCAGGAGCGCAACAATGGCCATTCGACCAGGTAGAACTTTTTCCATATCCTGCTCCGCGGCCTCAAAAGACTCTGTATCAGTAAACCCATTCTCGGCGAGCTTTGCCAGGTCGGCATCAGTGAACTTGGAGAACTCTCTCTCAGAAAGCTTGTTACGCAGCTCCTCCAACGGCCATTGATTGAACGTTTTTAACCTGGGACGTACAGTGGCTCCCTAACCTAAGTTAATGTTCACAATACTTAACTTATCAAGACTTTTTTTTAAAGGCCTGAACAGTTTTAAATTAGTCAAGGTACAAATTATTTAAGCTATTTGTAAATAAGTCATGCTAGATCAACAAATATAGAGACATTGTAGTCCATAAGTTTACTATGGAATATAAGAAATCAATAATCAATGGCTCATGAGATCATCAAAACAATCTGTTAGTCTTATGCTTGTTGGTGGGCACTATGAAACCTTGTAAATAGTTAATGAATGAATAATACTCTAAAATGTAAATATCTTAATACTCTAAACTTATGGATGAGCAGCACATGCTCATTCATTAAATTGACAAGTTCGAGGTTTTATTTGCCTAGCTAGTAAAACAATAACATTATGCTCAATGTTGACCAATTGGGGGTGGGTAAATCACCATAGACCATATCGAATGACCCACCCCCAATCAGATAATTGCAATGACCCACCTGCAATTGTAGGGATTTTCAAAATTAAAATATATATTTACAATTTTGATTATATTTTAATCATCTTGTGAGGTCCAATTGTATAGCTACAATGTTGTATACTAATATTACCATAGTAAAATCTTGATGACTATCAAATTGATTTCAATTCAGACCACTCACTCTTATATATAAACTAAGGTTTTTGGGTTAATTTATATACATATTTTTGTATTCCATTTTCTTGAGGAGGGACTTGGATTTGGGATTTTGGTTTAAACTTAGCTTTTACATTGTCTAGATGTCCCTTTCTTTATAGTTTTTTCAATTTCTTTTCTTTTTTTTTTCCTTTTCATTTATCTTTCTGGCAAAGCAACAATATCCCCCTTATTTGATTCTAGAGTAGCAATTGGTGCATTTGCTTAATGTTATATAGTTGCAATTGAACAATTAAATTCAATTGATGGTAACATTCACGGCCTGTGATATAGCTCCTCCTACTCTTGTTTTCAATCCTTGTGTCCGGTTGGAGTTTTTCATAGAAGTTTTAGGGATGATGCTGCAATAGTACAATAGTTTGAGTGCAACCATTTGTAAGGACTGGAGCATTCTCCCGGACGTCTTTAAATGCATATTTAGATATGTTGACGATTATGATAATGCCTTCCAACAATTGCATTGTCTTTGTCAAGGGCCATTTGAGTCTGTGATATAATTTGGTGTTCGTTTCCAAAACCTCTTGCTTTGTACAGAGTTAAATATGTCATAGTGGATCAGTATGGGAATGTTGTGGCCAACACTTCATCAAGATCTTGTAAAATTTATGCATGCATTTAATCTAGCCACCTTTGACGATGCTTAGCATAACATTATAAAATGTCACCTCTTCCACTTCTTGTTACACATCCTTTAACTCCTCTTCTTGTAGGAGATGTGTGAAATAAAGCACCAAAGTGGAGCTAAAAGTGTGCCACATAGTAATGGTCAAAATAGAAGTCCAATGAGCATAACACACTTGGACCAAAAGCTCTAACTCTGAAAGTCAAGAGCAAGAGTGGAACTCCAAACGAAGTATTCGAGGAATGAACACAAAATGATTGATAAATAAGTCTTTAAGAAGGATTAACATATGGCAAGTGTCATAACACATAAAAGTGTCGAGACAGAGTCTGACATAGAGTTCGAGATGAAGTCCAAGATAGAGTCTGGGGTAACTTGGTGAAGTATTCAAGAGCTAGCTCTAATTCCCCTGAGAGATCAAATGGTCGATGTTTCTAATCTATGGAGGGGTGGCACTACTTACTTGGATACCTAGCGTGGCTCAACCGAACCTTATTTTAGCTACATGGCTAGGGCATCTAAGGGCAGAAGGTGGGGAGAGTACTTATAAAGCTTGCATAGGGCCATAGTATTTTGAAATATCATCCCAAAGTTTCAGACTGTGAAAAGGAAAATGATTAGTCTTTTTATGTAGTGACCAAAGGCATGGTCACGTGGTGAGAAAGTCCCAAAGGTTAGTGGGACTTAGTGGTCGGACCTTCAAGCCTTGACTCAATGGCGGTGTTAGTGAGCACTGCCATGAATGAATGGGATTTAGTGGGGGACCGAATAAGGGATATTGAAGAACAATATTCCCTATGTCTCTAAACATCCTAAAGGTGCTAATGTGTGCTCAAAGGATGACCATTCATAAATAGATGGCCTAATCTATAGGAGATAGTTTGTGTCTGTAGTATGGGTGGTCTTGGACTAGCGTAACAAATTGATATATCAATGGTACCTTTAAATGTCTATGTTGGTATTGAACATGTGAAGCACTTGGACCAAGTGCAAAGACTGAGTGGCATAAATGCCATTCACAAGGCTAATGTGTCCCCAAGTTAAAAATAGAATTTATGAAGGTTGTGAGTGAGACCACTTTAATTTGTTAAAGGTGTGGTTAAGTGGCTAAAGTAGAATGGAAAATATAATCACTTACAAGATAGTCATGTTTCAATGGAGGTTAATGATGTTGCTGCCCGAGTTCAAAGACAATAGTGAGGATATAGTCATGGTTGTGATGTCCGCTATTGGGAGTGTAATGAAGTTGGTCACACTTATCAACATTGTCGGCATTTTTCAGATTGGTGACTTCCATTTCTTAGGTAGAGACCTTGGCGTCAATAACGTCCTTTTTGTGTTGCTGTAATAGAAGGTCTGAACATCGAGATGCTTCCGGGAAATGAGGAGTCGCAGTTGTAGCAGAGAGTCCTTGTGTAAATAAGT